CCAACATATTGTGTTGGAACATCTGTAAGTCTGGCTCGGATTTCTTCTTCCTCAGTCAGCTGATCATAATGAACACCTATGAGGCCATAGGTGTAGATTGAGAGAGAGAAGAGGCCTTGCACTATAGGATTTATTGCTGAAAGATTCTGAGCCACCTGTTGTTCATATAAATTACTTGTAACTTCCAGATCTCTCTAAGCCTGGTCTTTTCTATTCTGTGTCCAGTTGATGACAGATTGCTGTTGTGTACACCCAGTCAGTGGCTAGGTTGGTCATGTAGCTTTCAGTTCATGAAAGAAAGCTCAGGACATACAGTCACCTGATATTCCATAGTTAGGCATTTACTTACTGTCTAATAAGACCTAGTAGCAATCCAGAAACTACTTCTCAAAAGGAAAATAGTTATCTGTAAAGGAGGGCATGGAATTTCTCCCAGTCCGAAGTATGCTTCTTTGGTAGCTTTCCAGAGGTTCCATACAGCATCCCTATTTACTATAGACACTTGGAGTATCATTGAATCTGCTTGATCATAAGACCAAAGTGGAAGATCAGCTTGCCTTCTCTTGTTCTGGTCCCCACTGGAAGCTTATAAGTGGCTTGATAGATGGAGAGAGCAGCTCACTCAAATGTGGTATGTGTTGCTTTCCAAAAGGCCTACCAAGCATTCTGCTCCTTTTGTTCGTGGTAGGTGATGGGAGGTGTAGCAACTTGTCTTTCAGTTGGAGGGAATGTCTTGACATATTCCAGATCATTGGATCCACAGAAACGTCACTGAGGTGGCAGGGTTCCTGAATTTTTGTGGGAATTATCTGCCACTCTCTTGATTCACTTCTGTCTTACTAAGGCATCTAAAGTATTATGCTTGTTGCTTCCTGCTCCCCAGATCCATTCAGCATAATGTCATCAATGTAGTGGACCATTGAGATGTTTTATGGAATGTCAAGATGATCAGGATCTCTGTGGACTGTATTATGGCAAAGAACAGGAGAGTTGAAATAGCCCTGAGGCAAGGATTTGAAGGTGTCCACAGATACAAGCCAGGTAAAAGCAAACTGCTTCTGGTGGTCTTTACAAATTGGTATGGAGATAAAAGCATTAACCAGGGCAATAACTGCAGCGAAATGCTAGGGACTGTGTTAATTTGTTCTAGTAAAGATCTGGAAGAGTAGCTTCAATTGGAATCATAACCTGATTAAATTTATTATCCAGAGTTATTAGCTAAAATCCATCTTATTTCAGTACAGACCAAACAAGCAAAGATGATGTGATAGGTATTCTTACCCCTGCATATTTCACGTCCTTGGTAATGTCACTGATTTTTGCAATTCTCAGGCTTATGGTTTTGTTTCTGGTTGTCTTAGTAGAGAGGAATTTCCAGGGGTTTGTACTTACTTCTTCCTGTTGTAATGACCCTTACCCCATGGATCACAGAGCCAGCCGTAGAGCATTCTACAGGTTGCCAGGTGTATCTATTCAACTTCAGGAATTGGGTGGGGTCCACAGACCACCTGGGTCCACTATGATTCAAAATTGGACTTAGATTCCATCTATCACATGATCACCATAAGGCCCCACTTTTACTGCTTGTACAACAGCAGCTTTTAGTGTTCTTAAGAACTAGTGTCAGTTCAGAGCCCATGTCCAGTAATTCCTGAAAGTTTGGATCTTTCCTTTCCTTCAGTTCACAGTCATTCTACTAAGCGGCCACAGATCCTTGGAGAAAGATTTATGTTATACACTTGTGACAGTGCTACAGGGTTCTTCCTCATTGGAACTTGGCCCTCCTTCAATCAGGGGGCTCTGAGTATATGAATTGGCTTAGGTCTGAAAACTGGTTGAGAAACTGTGACTCTCCATTGTGGTGATTTAAGTCAGGTGTTTTAGCCACCAGGTCTGGAGTTTTTCCTACTTATAGATCAAACACTAATCTAGTAAGTTACTTATTTTGTTCCTGGAGGCACCATGATTAATTAGCCACCAACAGAAATCTCCACAGGCCAGCACATTCTGGTTATTAGTACATCCCTGCTGCCGTTTTTGATAAAATAATCTACCTTATTTTTGTTGGTTAAGTGCTGCTGCTTGACCTCTGCTTCTCCAGGATTATCTTTTGAATCAGGGAGCCCATATTAATGGTGACATTTCCCATTCCTGACCTTTATGGGAGGACAGTCACAGAGCTTTTCAGTGATGCAGGTGCTGCCCTTAATTAATGTATTTCTCAGTGCTTTCATGAAGGGACTATTTTCTAGACTTTTTCAAGGGATGTAATTGATGGGAGGGTATGCAGTTTGCATGTGAAAAATCTCCTCCAACATTCTTACCTCCCTAGGGTTTTGGATTTCTTCCCGTATATCAGAGGTCAGCCCATACATCAACTCCAGCCCACCTCCTGATTTTATAAATCAGGTTTTATCAGAACACAGCCATGCTCATTCTTTCATGTGTTGTCTAGGTCTGCTATTGCACTACAGTAGCAGAGTTGAGTAGTCTGCAAAGCTGAAAATATTTACTCTCTGGTCCTTTAAGAAGTTTGCCAGCCTCTGCCTTAGGGCATGCTGAGATTTGATCCGAGTTAGGGGTCTAGTGACAGCAAAGGAATGATTGTGATGGTTCTTCAGAAGGTTAAGCATCCTCTGCAAGGCATCTGTTTCGGAAGGTGTGTCTTCTCAGACACTGGAGAGGAAGCTATTTGCATTGGCCAGTGAAACTCCAAATAACTCAGAAGTTCAAGATTCTCAGTTTTGTCTGAGTCCAGCCAGATGCTCCCACTCCACGGTTAAGGGTTCTCTTCCCAATCAGCGGCCTAACTTTCACACAAGAAAACTTGGTGAGTGTGTGAATTCAATTGACATTGTAAATATTCAGCAATATCAGCCCTGTCAGAAATTCTTCTAGGTTTGTCTTGGAAGTTCTCTACTCAGACCATGACTCGTGCTGAGAGTTTAAAAGAACCTGCGCTTGTTACTTCTTTCTGTAAATGCTCTGTGTATTCAGTGTAATCTTTTGTACAAACACAGAACTTGTGGTCACCATTATTGTTGTAATGGTCAAGGGCAGCAGCCGCTTGGACTCCCAGGGCACTCAGCTTCAGTGGATACTTCACAGTCAACCACAGGAGATAGCTTCGTTAATTGTTATGCCAGTGCATACCTTGGATTGCTAGCATCCATTTCCCATTGACAAGGGCTCAGCACTATGCTCAGGCCCAAAGAAAGGCATGACCAAACCAGTTCTGCAAACCCCATCTTTAATGGTCTGTCTCCTGTGACCACTTCAGTACCAGTTCTGTATCAATCAGAGACAGAAACCACCCCAGTAATTTGAACAGGGAAAATTTAATATGGAGTGTTAGCTAATGAACGGTGATTTAACTACTAAAAGGTGTGAAAGAGGATTCTAAGGGGTATAGAAGTAGCAGATGCAGAAAGCAGCTACTACCCATAGGGCTAGTGGATGGTGATCAAGGAATGAACTTACAGGGTGGACCCTCCCCTCTTCCCCCAGGCTGAGATTCAGATCTCTTTGGAGAGGGCGTAGGTGCCTCAGGAACATACAACCTGCCAGTGGAAAAGAAACTTGCCGGAGGGCTGATCTAGGAGATCTGCTATGATGGCAGAGAAACCCCCCTGTTCCCCCAGTTCCTGTCCGCTAATTGATCCACTGGTTACAGCACAGCAGAAGGAAGAAAAGTCCCTTCCTTCTTCTTTGGCCTTGCAGGAACCCTCCAGCACCCTCTACTGGCCAAAACCAAGTCAACTGGCAATGGAAAAATGTCCATAGGGTCCTGCTCCAGTAATCATATAGCAGGAACAAGGAGGGTGGATTTGGAGCTGAGAGGCAATAAATTAATATCAGGCCTTCTCCAGTTTCATGGCTATAACTGCTATCTGTGTGCTATTACCTCCCTTATGTATATCTCTAGCCTGTATATATCTTTTCCCTTGAACTCCAGAGAAGTATTAATGTATCAAACTGGCTCCTTGATGTCTTCATTTGAACTTCTCACAGGCATTCATAACAGGTAAAAAACCAAACACTTGTACCTCCCCTAGTTTTTCCCATCTCAGCAAATGACATCATCAATCAAACGAAAAAATAGCCTCTACTTTTCTCTTTTTCCTACTTTACTCCCAGTTGGTCAAGGTCCTGCCATCTCTTTCTTCAAAATATATACAAATCCTACCATTTCTCACTACCTCCACTGCTGCTACCCTGCTTCAGGTCACCATCATCTCTTGACTCTTAAGTATCAGAAATCACATCCTAGATTTCTAATGTATGCTTGATAATTACATGACTGCTTATTCTCAGTTCATTCTATAACTTTACATTCTATAACAGGTGTACCCTATCCCTCCCACTCCAAACTTTATGCAAGACTTCAAAAGCCTTAGGGCTTTGAATATGCCTGCTACATCCCTTGCCGTCAAGTTAAGCCCATTTTTTGTGTTTGCCAATACAGCATTCACCCTTATTTTTTTTAAATTAATAATATTAACATCACTATTTCTTCATGTATAGTTTTGAAATATGTATAAATCTTCCGAGCTTAAACTGATAATTGCCTATTGTCAGATTTTTTTTAAATTTGAAAACATTTTTATAAAGATGTCCTTATTTCTTAAATTTCTGTTTTGTTGGATAGAAACTACTAAGGTAGCAAACTCCCCGAACAACAACTTTTCCACATATATCATTGACTTTTTATGTTAGTCATCTCTCATTCTTTTCATCAGCTTAATTCCTTTTAAGGTAAATATCAGTACTCACTTTTGTTACATTCAGAAAAGGAAATGGTTTGTATTAACTCACGCTTGGAATGCCATACCATTGATCTCAATAGAAAACTTTATTATCTGCATCTTTATTTCTTTCTAATATTGATTAGAAACCATAATAAATATAGGAATCCTCTTTGAAATTAAAGTTTCCTTAAGCATATACTTTTTTTTTTAATAAAAGAAAATTACCTGATACATGCTCTCTTTCTCTTTTAGGTGGGAGATGTTGCTGTTTTTCTCCTGATGGTAAAGCTTTAGCTGTAGGTCTCAATGATGGAAGTTTCTTAATGGCAAATGCAGATACTCTGGAGGATCTTGTATCTTTTCACCACAGAAAAGACATTATTTCAGATATTCGATTTTCACCAGGTAAGATTTCATTGAAATCATACTTGATTATTAACTTGAGTATGGCAGTGAATGTATCAATGTGTGATTTTTATTAACTGTTATTTTATCTCAGAATTTTAGTTTTTTACTAGAAGAGGCAGTATAATGAGAGGTAAAAGCCCTATATTAGATCAGTGGCAAAATATCTGGCTTAGTGCCAATTCTGTCCCTAAATTTTCTGTGTGACTTGGGCCAAGGCATTTCTTTGAGCTTCATTTTCCTCATTTATAATGTAAGACAGATTGGATAACTGTTTTCATTATATTCTTAATGCTTTTGAAATTACATGAATTTTGCTTCTTCAATTTCCATGTATTCATTACCAATGACAAAACCTACTATAATACAGGATTACTAATGTTAAGGCAAAATTTACTTATGTTGGCTTACTTATATTTTTTGTAAATTTAGATATTTTCTTTTTTTTTCTGGTTACATGCAAAGAATATGAAAATTACTTTGTATATAATTTTTGATATTTTCTTTCCACTGAACTACCTCACTACATTAAAATTTTATTTAATTGTGTTAATTATAATATACATGAAAATGTTACCATTTGTCGTTTGACTCATATGTCTTGTTATAACTTAGGAAACATCTAAGAGTTCCTCCAAAAAAAAATTAAGAAAATTGACCCTAGTTGTAGAGTGTAAAAAATATTTCTAAGGGTAGAAAATTTCAAGCAAATATGTTTCTATTACAGGTTCTGGGAAATATCTTGCTGTAGCATCACATGATAGCTTTATAGATATATACAACGTAATGAGTAGTAAACGAGTAGGAACATGCAAAGGCGCTACCAGTTACATAACCCATATTGATTGGGATGTTAGAGGTAAGATTCTAAATAACTTACTATTTGATAAAAGTTTCATTTGACTTAGTATAGCTATTTTGGAGAAACAAGTAATTCAACAGATGAGTTCAAAAGCATTGTGAAAAACAAACGTTATTCTCAAAATGATTTCCACTACTTTATTTCACACCTAAAGATGAATGCTGTGAGTTTAGACTTTGCAATACTTCTAATGTAATTCAGATGATAGTACAGTAAGTGATAAATTCTTTAATTTGTAAAGTAATTTAAATATTATACAAATTTTTTTTAGTCATTTGTCCTGGTTTTGTCAGATAAGCTTGATATAAATAGTAACTGAAATTTTGGAAAATAGTTATGTTAATGAGGATTTTTTTTTTTGTTAGTAACAGTATTTGCCCCCACTTTTTTTCTGGCCTCGCCCCACGGCTTGCGGGATCTCAATTCCCCAACTAGGGATTGAACCCAGGCCACAGCAGTGAAAGCCTGGAATCCTAACCACTAGACCACCAGGGAACTCCCAGTTTTAATGTAATTTTCCCAGCATTCAATAAAATACATTCCCTAAAATTGTCATAGTTGTATAACATACAGAATTTAGTGAGTATCTGTTTTTTAGCAGAATGCGTGGCATATGGCAATGTTTAATAATTTAGATAAATGCTAAATATTTTAAATGCTCCATTTTACGAATTTTTGTTTCAGATAGTCACCTATATAAATCTCGTGTTGTAAATTAAAGTTTTTCCAAATGTAGTTTAACAAAATACTCTTTAAAAAAAGGTTTCAAATTTTATTTCTAGGATTTTTACGAGTAGGAATATGCAAAGGCACTACCAGTTACATAACCCATATTGATTGGGTTGTATAACAACAGAAATAGTTCACATATACACACACACACACACACAAATTAAGCCATTTATGAGTTTATTTACGTTATTATATATATGGTTGACTGCAGAGGGTTTAAGCTTAATTTTTCCCATAAAAGTTAAATATCATACTAACTGTATATGTATTTATATTTTATATATGTGTATATTTTAAAATTTTTTTTTAAGGGAAGCTTTTACAGGTCAACACTGGTGCTAAAGAACAGTTATTCTTTGAAGCTCCCAGAGGGAAAAAACAAACCATCCCCAGTGGAGAGGTAGGAAGATAGTAGTGCTTGTAATGTTGATATGACGGAAAGTGGTTAGAAAGCTGATGCCTATCTGGGTAAAGGAAGAGATTCTATATTAAGAAAAGAAATAAATTGCTTGCTTGTATGTCTAGCTCTTCTCTAATTACTTTCCTCAAAGGATAAGAAGCATGCAATAGCATGTAAAAGACATGCCATCTAAGATTGGAGTACTGCATGTCTGTCAAATCTTTTGGAACCCATGTGCCTAAGATGCTTATTGGCAAATTCTCGTTTGAGGGGGAAAAAAAAGAAAAAAATGTGTTTGGTTTTGTGGCTGATATATTAGCAAAATTTTTTTAACATGGCCAAGGAAGAGAAGCTAAACAAATATAACGTGAAAGTAGCTTAATAAGGAGTGGGACTGTAAGTAAAATTCTTAATTTCCAGTAATGATTAATTGGAAAATATGCTTATAAACTATTAGTAGAAGTTTAGACATGAAGTGTAAGAATAAATTTCTTGATTATTCTAAAAGCAGAAAAAGTCATATATTATCACTGTACGTTCCACATCTAGAATACACAGTGGATATATAATAAATACATCTTGAATAATGTTATGTTAAAATTTTTCTGTAGGAACTAGTGGACTTGGGAAGCTACAAAACCAAGACAGCTACTAATTTGTTTAACTGTTTTTATTAAAATTTTTAATTTATTTGTGACATATATTAATTACAAAGAAAAATATTCAGATTTTTTGTTGTTAATTTTTTAGGGTTAGATGTTATAACCTTAGAGCATTTTTTTTTCTTTTTTAGGTAGAAAAAATTGGTTGGGCATCATGGACAAGTGTGCTTGGTTTATGTTGTGAGGGAATTTGGCCAGTAATTGGAGAAGTCACAGATGTAACTGCCTCTTGCCTCACCAGTGACAAAACAGTCCTAGCTACTGGGGATGATTTGGGATTTGTGAAGTTATTTAGATATCCTGCTAAAGTATGTGTTTTTCTTTAATTCTCCTAATGACCATAATTATAAAAATGGTTAAAGTAATGCCCTTTCATAGCATTTCTTTTTGTAATATGAATATTACACATGGAATATGTAATGTTGTAATATGAAAGGTTCAGAATTACGTTTCCTATTCTTGACATCATATTTATAGCTTTTATCTATAGATAAAAAGTATTATCTATAGATAATAGTAGTATTATAATTTATGAAGTAGTATTATAATTTATGATCCTATACCTTAAGTTATATATTATATTGTACAGTTTCTCAGTATTGAGGAGTATCCATAGCCGTTTTAGAAGAAACATTCTTTTAGCCCTAATATTAAAGAATTTTAGTATTCTTTTGATTAAATATATACCATTAACAGGAAATATAAACTTTTGATATTTACAATTTTAACATTTAAAATGTTCTAACAAATTAAATACAAAATACTATAAATGACACTACCTATAAAGTCAAAATAACTTTGGTTTAATGTGAATGAGTGATGTTATTTTCCTAAAACCAAACTGTAGAGATTCTTTGGAATGTGCATGCCCATGCTACTGTGTGCTGTGTGATGACTAAATTCTTTTATTGCTTTCCTTTATTCAAACCACTGGGAAACATTAGGCTTTCACTTAGCACAAAAATAAAATTCATATCTCAAGTATAGATGCATTTATTTCTTAATTGTCACAAATTCAAATATATGTTGTAATCTAGTACCAACATGAACATAAATATAAATTTGAAATACGGCACTGAAATCGTGATATTCAGTGCATGGTGGTCTTAATTAACTGCTCATATGAATATTTTTAGATGAGCATCGAAATGAAAACACAAGTTTAAAAATTCCTGTAGAGAACTCAGGCACCCAAGAAAATATTTCACAAATCCTTGTTTTAGATACACTTAAGTAGTAGTACCTTCTGTATAAGAATGTGTTCCAATAGAACATTTATTAGTCAAAAACATCATTCTCAATATTCTAGATGGTATAGGAACCTTAAAAATACGTTCTAGGATATTGGTCTGCAGATTCCTTCTTCACCTTACTGTAGCAAGAACCACAAAATCTTAGGGAAGCTACCTTCTTACAGTGTTTTGATGACAGATTCACCTTCTATTTCAGCTAATTTTTATTAAGAGTCTTCATTTCCAAAGAATTCACTGATTTAGCTATTACTGTGTTTTGTATATTTAAGACATTTCTTATTTTAACACCCTTGAAAAGATGTCCATCTAAAACCTGCTTATGATATGTTGATCTGAAATTTACTTATGAAATTTGGTAATGCTAGTGTTTAGATTTAAAAGTTGCCAGTATCTATAACTTGGATTTTTCTTCATATTTACAAGAAAAATACATTCCTATGTGTAACATCTGCTTATAAACAAAAACAGTAATGAACTACGATGAAAGATATTTACTTGGGTATATACCAAAATGTTTGCTAATTACTTTTTGTTAATATGGCCGTGCTCTATGTACATAGGCATTTATATACTGATTTTCCCAGTTATTGTGTCTATTTCCAACATGTCTGCTTAGCCATTGTTCTAACAGATATGTACTATTCCAAAGATATCCACTGTAATTAGCTATTGCTCTATTGAATATTTAAGGTATTTAAAATGTTTCACTGCTATAAGTAAATACTGTAGCAACTATTTTTTGCACAGAAAATGTCTTAGCATAGATCTCTTAAAGAGGGATTGGTGAGACAAAGGTCAGCATTTTCATGCTTTTCAATGTAGAATGCCAAGTTGATTTCCAAAAAAGTTATGCCCATAGTACTAGCAATGTGCAAAACTACTCGTTTTATCCTGTCCTCATCAGGTTTGGGAATTGTTATTTTTTATTTTAGTGAGTTTCAGTATTTTCTTTTTTTTTTTTTTACAAGGTGCCTTGTAATGATTAATTTCCAATCACAGATTAAGAAATAAATTCAAAATTATAACAATGTTTTCAAGTAATAAAATTTCTCAGAAAGATTTTTTGAATTTTTTTTTTTTACCTTTAGGGAAAATTTGGAAAGTTTAAGAGGTATGTGGCCCATAGTACACATGTCACAAATGTGCGCTGGACTTTTGATGACAGCATGTTGGTTACCTTAGGAGGTACAGATATGTCTTTAATGGTTTGGACAAATGAAATGGAGGGATATCGAGAAAAAAGGCCTTGTGATAGTGAAGAATCTGATATAGATTCTGAAGAAGATGGGGGTATGTCATTTTAAAATATTTTAGTTTAACGAAAACATAGAAAAAATTTAGCACAACTGATTTAAACTGTGGAAGTTAAATAAGTAATAATAATACTTGAATAATTGTGGTTTTAGTCCTTTCGGTCTATTTAACAACAGAATTTGTTTTGTGAATCAAAAACAACAGGCTGTCATATACTAATAACTTAGATATTCTTCATTTACCAATGAATGATAATCATACTTTAAATTAGTACTGTTAAAATAAATTTATAGCATTGAGCCTCATACTTTAATTTTGGTTTTTTCCTAATACACCAGTAATACCAGCTCATTACAGAAAAATTAGAAAGTGTGTTTTCAATAAAAAATAAACACAGCATCCATAATTTGACCACTTGGAGGTAATCTCTGTTTAACATTTGGGGTATACCCATAGGGGTATGTGTATTTATATACATTATATTTTTTTAACAAAAATGATATCATATTGAGTTTATTTTTTGTAGCTTGCTATTATCACTTAGCAATACTTTGAGAATTTTATCATTAAATATTCTTCTACATCATTTTTACTGGCTGTATGTTATTGCATAATTTGATTATAACACAGTGTATTAAACTTATTTCATATTGTTGAACATCCTTGTATCCAATTTTTAAGATCATACGTGAGCTCCTCAGTTATAACATAGAGAATAATTCTTATATTTTGATGTTAGGCTATGACAGTGATGTCACAAGGGAGAATGAAATCAGTTACACCATCAGAGCCTTATCAACAAATATTCGCCCAGTGTTTGGAATCAAGCCTCATTTGCAACAAAAAGAACCCTCAGTTGATGAGAGGTAACAATCAAGTTTAAAACTAGATGAAGAAAAAGATATTGGTATTAAAACTTGAATTGATTGTTTAACTGAATGAATTTTTGCAAAAACTCAGTAACAGTGGTACTCTTGCATTTTACAGTTCCCAGCACCTCTTAGAAAGCATGTTTGTCCTTAAATACTTTTTGGTAATGACACTGTCTTTTGCAAGTAGCTTAGGGAATGATGCTACATATAAAGTCTATATGATTAAAGGAATCTTATTTGCTAACTTTTATAAATATATGTGATAGGGTTTCAAGAAGTAATACAAATTGAATCCAATACCTATTATGTTTTAGGAAGCACATGAGCAGAGAGATGATTAAATTTTTAAAAGGCCTTTTTATCCATGTGCCTTTTTGATCAAGGATAGAAAGTCATTATTTTAAAATTTTTCCAAAAAGGCAAGTTGAAGTATAGCTTGTCTCTAATGGGAATTATTGGTCTTTGTCTAGAATCAGCAAATCAAAAGTAAGGCTATGTGCACTGCAGTTTTATGAGGAAAGAGAGAAACTGTGAGCCTGATGCTTTTAAAATCATTAGAGAAGATAGAAAGCAATAAAGAGGCATATGGATCAGTGAATGGCATGGATTTCAGAAATGAAGAGGTTTTAAGAAATGATAAAGGAGGGCTTCCCTGGTGGCGCAGTGGTTGAGAGTCCGCCTGCCGATGCAGGGGACACGGGTTCGTGCCCCGGTCCGGGAAGATCCCACGTGCCGCGGAGCGGCTGGGCCCGTGAGCCATGGCCGCTGAGCCTGCGCGTCCGGAGCCTGTGCTCCGCAACGGGAGAGGCCACAACAGTGAGAGGCCCGCGTACCGCAAAAAAAAAAAAAAAAAAAAAAAAGAAATGATAAAGGAAAAATTATTCAGAAACTACATTGAAGAACAAAGAAGCAGTGGGAGGTAGGAACAGCAGTGACCTCTTCTGTAGAAAGCTGTGGTGAGGAAAATGTTATTATAAAAAGTTAGTATTTGAGGGAAAAGCTAAAAATGAAAGGGAATTCATTCACAGTGAACAGAATTTGTGGAAAATTCAAGTGAATGTATAGTTAGTGAGGATAGTGCTAAAGACCATTGGAGCCCAGCTAGATAGAAATAATATTAAAAGAAAGCATTGGCAGAGGAATTTGAGTTTGCACCTATGGATTTAATATCCAGGGCAAAGAATGAAGTTGGAAGGGTGAGATACATGTTATTGATGGAAAAGGGGGGAGAACTAGAGATGCTGTTGAACTGAAATTCTAGGTAGAAGGTTGAGGTCATGATGCCTCCACAGCTCCTCTTCCAGGTGCCCCATTTGCTGATGGTGGTATACCTCAGATAATAGCAATGGGGGGTCACCTTACAGAAAGAGGGTAGACAGTGATTATCTGTTTATTCATCACTTATAAAGAGGCAAGTTATTAAACTAGAGGTATGTTTTTTAAAAGCTGAGCAAGGTTGAAATGACTTGGTAGAAGGCTACGTCATATAGTGCAAATGACATGGTTTTTGGAATCAGATAAATGGGTTAAAATATTCATTTTTATCATTTGCCAGTTGTGTGACCTTGAGAAACCATTCTCTCTGAGCCTCAGTTTCCACAAAGGAAAAATAAGCATTATAATCCCCAATTTATGGAGTACTTCATGAAATGAAATAATGTATATAAGAATTTAAGTAGTAAGTCTTCACTCGCCCCTTCCTTGGAATAAAATACAAGGTAACCTAAGGAGATACCTGGTTAATACTGACACACTTCCTTTTTAGTGAATTGAATTTCATTTCATTTCAGGCCGCGCCGCATGGCTTGGGATTGAACCCAGGGCCACGGCAGTGAAAGTGGCAAGTCCTAACCACTGGACCACCAGGGAACTCTCTAACAGTTTTTCTTTTTGGTACTGAAATTAAATATCCACAAAGTAATGAACACTACCTATATATTTATTAATCAGAAGAGTACATATCAGTATGCAAATATAGATGTTCATAATTAGAATATTTGCAGTATAGTACTTAATATTACCTAAAAGAAATTATACCTCACAGGTAATGAAAAATGTAATATAGGGAAGAAGGAACTCTAGACATTCCCATTAATCTTTTTCATTTATTATATTGATTTTTTGAAGAAAATATTATCACTTATCAGATAAATTTGGTATGTCAGAAAATGTGACCTAATTTTAATCTGTAGGCCATCTCTCATGGTAAAACACTTAAATTTCCTCCTTCATTGCTGAAGAGACCTGAGTTCTGATAGATGGAAACATTTTACTGCTCACAAAGAATGGTTGACACTGTCATAATTGTAATCTTTGCTGTTAGCTTGCATTTTTTATAGCTAACTTTCTCAAAATTATTTTTTATTTTGCATTTTGTCCTCAAATTATTTTACAATTCACCTCTACTAAATTCTTCTGAAAATGCCAACGCAGAAGAAGTCATTATTGTGATTCATAGTTAGGAGCCTTCATTTTCATAAAATGCAGGAATCAAAGGAGATAAAAATGAAGAGATATTTCTTTTTATCAGCTTTGAATTTTTGTGAGGAGATAAAATGGTCTGTATACATAATTGTTTTCATGTTCTAAATAAAGTATATTGTCATATACAAAACAAAGCACTTTTTAAACAAAACAAATGCTTGTCAAATATCCACTTAAAAGGAAAATATTTCTGATGACAGTTTGACAACTTTATTTAGTTGACACTTTCATGGAGTCTTTTTCCTAAATGACATTAATAATTTTATGTTTTTCTTTTTCTATAAATATTTTTATAGCTAATCTTATGTATTTTAAGTAGTTACTTGTCAATCAAATTTCCAGTATTTTTGAATAAAAATATTCAAAACAATGTGACATAAAATTTAGGCCTTTTTGTATTTCATTAGAATTCTGTTGACATATTATCTTTAATCTGTTTAGTAAACTGGTACATTTTATTCATCATCAGTTTTCATGTATATCTCCTTACTTTTTTCCTCTTGCTCCTTTTGAAGGCAGGGAGTAGTAAGGTAAGTATTTTGTTAAAGAAAATACTTTACTCAAAAATTTATTCTTCTATTTTGGTCTTTGTGGTATTTTACGGTTTTGTTTTGTTTTTTTCCCCTATAAAACATTGAACTACATTTGTTGAGAAAGAACCAGAAAGTGAAATAGGACAAATCCTACAGAAGAGTTGCATTTATAGATACAATATGTGGGTGTTGTTATGAGGGTCTTCATTATAATCAGTGTTTTTACAAATGACTTTTCACAAACTCCTATACTCTAATAGTTTAGTTTTTCCTTAAATTTCAAAGACTCATAAAAACAGTTAGTCACACATATTTATCAGTGAAAATTTTTTCAGTTGATAACAAACCTGTTAGCTTCATTTAATGCTTGTTTAATGTATTCATTAATTTCAAAACATTCACATATGGGCAGTAATGATATTTGTATGTTTAATAAAATGATATGTGCAAGAAGGGACTCTTTAGGGTGCTTTTGTAGCTACCTTTAGTGAGATAAAAATGTCTTCAGACAGTTTCTGAAACAGGACAATATGGAAAAGCCTAGTCTGTTTTAGAAGTAAAAAAGGTACCAGTAGGAAAATGCTGGCAGATAGGATGAAAAAGTCGATTTGAGATCAGATTGTACAACACATCAAATATAAGGCACTCCTTAATTAATTTGGCAGATATCAGGACTTCATTATCTGTTTTAAGCAGGAGGTGATGTGTGCAAAGATATGAGTCCAGACTGTGATGTGACTTCTAAAAAAGCCCTCATAATCTTATACTATTTTAAAAGAAATAAAACATTCAGACCTAACGTCAGATCTGGAGTAGCTTATTCAGGACTGATCTCTGCATTTTAAAGGGACATTGGCAGTTTACAGTGATCTAGAAGGAAACAGAGGGTAAAGGAATGTTGGGAGGCCACTTTACACAAAGAATAATTCATCGCTTTGGGAATCACTAGTTTCAAAAAAAGAAAACAAAGTGGAGATATAATTGCTGTCTTAGGTATGAATGACTTCTGTAGGAGTGACCTCCTTGTGACGAGCAGTGTTCATGCAGAGTTTAGTAAATGACCACTTGTCATCAGTGCTATGAAGGGATGTTCTAGACATGTAAAGACGATTCCTGGTTTCACTGGGAGGATGGATAAGATTAACTTCTGTGATCCCTTCCAGTTCTGTTCAGTCATTATGTTGTTAAGGGGAATTTTTTTTCTTTTAAGTTACTTCCTTTGCTAGAAAAGTCCCAAATCCAGCATGGTCCCGAGACTCACTCTGCCTACTTGGTTAGACTGGCTGACTGGGAATCCCTTTTGGGTCAGGGGAGGGGGAGCTTAGTTAGGTTCCTTAGGCAGTCCTTAATAGCAGGGCCAGTGCTACCAGCCATTTAAGTTAATAAACATTAAGTAAGCTTAAATATTTTGTTTGAAATTCAGATTGCACTGTGGAAAAATAAGAATGGCAAGCTTTAATGTTTACAACATAGAACATATTGAATTCTTTTCTTTTTCATCTTCTTTCTTCTGATTTCCCTGCCATGAATGCAGTAGCCCTAAGCCTAGGCCTTTTCTTATATATAGCAATAAATAAAAACAATAGCCCTTTACTATATACAATATAGTTTATCTGCATTAAACTTGTAAACATATTTTATTACAGGAAATATTGTACTACTATTTTAAATGCAAATCTGTGTTGTAATCTTTTCCCTTTTTTATCTGCTGCTGGAAAGAGGTTCCAGGTAATCCTCTCTCTTTGCTATGCTCTATGCGACCCAATTTTGTATCTTTGTTATCTTTCATATTTACCATTAATAAGCTATGTTACTTGGTGTTCTTTACTTCTATTCACAGTTTTCCATGTTTTTCTCCTTTGAAATCAGTATGCGTGAAATGACTACATCTTAATTATTGGATTTGTACTATATAAGTAACTGCTTTACTAAAACTTTATTCATTCAACTTGTATAATTTTCCAAGTTGTAGAATTTCAAGCAATAATATATCTTATATAAATTATCTTTATAAAAATTAAAATATGCTTAACCATTTTACAGGATTTATAGATAAAAATTATACATTTATTAAAGTTCTCAGACAATAATGTTGAATAAAGTTCAACAAAATTGACTTGGAAGTAAAGCCAAAGCTTCTGTCATTCTTCAAAATGATTTTAGCAGAAATATTTTTAAATATTATAAAGTGAGTTATATTTATTACTTACAGATATTCAAAAAAGTATATGAAAAAGGTTTGAAACCAAAAAATTTTGTGATAATTTGAAAAGTTCTTTATAGAGTGTTGCAAGTGCATTTAACTTTTATGTCACCAGTCATGCTTCTATACTTCTACGTACTGCTTCACATTATATATGAAAATACACATTTCTCTTATATTACATGTTCAAGATATAACACTTCATTTACTTTTTATAGATGTATAATTTGAAAATCATTTTGAAAATGCAAATATATTGTTATGCCTTTAATTTTATGGATTTATTCAGAAACGTTGGAATGTTTTCCACTGGAAAGTTAATTTACATCATTTTCTGATTTAGTTGTTACAAAATTAATATTAAAATTTGAAAGAGGAAGTTGATATATGATTGATTTAGATTCAGTATTTAGGTTACTAAACATTTGAATAACGGCCCTCTGAGTTAAAACTAAACTAAATGATGTGTGTGGATTTTTAAAAAATTAAACAAAGGGTTTTTTTTTAGGGAAGAGTCTCCACATTTAAATAATAGAAAATGGGAACTCTATACACCTAATGACACATTCATTATAAATAGATCCTGAACTAGTGATGGAAACAGAGAAGGAGAGGGATAGATTTGAGAGCTACTGTGTAGGTAAAGTTGAAAAATATGTAGTTAATAGTGAGAATAAGGGAAGAGAAGGAGTTGGAGACAATAGTAATAACCTTTTACAGAGTGTTGTATGGTTTACAGTGCTTTGTAACTGTAAAATGTCTTGCTTGACTAACTGAAGGTGATGCCATAACCATACTAGGGACTTCAGAAGAAGAGAAGATAAAGGGCACAGAGGAGCAGGTAAAGAGTACAGATTTGAACTCACACATGACTTATGTTGCCAACAGTATGGAAAGTTTATACAAATATTTTCAAAATTCAAGAAGAATGTATTGAGTACCTGCCATGTGAAAGATACTGAGGTAGCTTACTTTAGAGCAGTAATCTAGGCTTTGTTGATAATGTACACCATGTAGAAGTTTTTGAGTGTGTAAAACTAACATTTGTATATTTTTATCATCTATATGTTCTTGTGCTATTATATTAGTTACATTTATGAAGCATACACCAAAGAAGTTAAAAGAAAAATGAATAGAAGTTCTAATATTTTCTTTCCACCTTTCTGCTTTAGAAGATATCAAGATAAGGAGGGTGGAGTCTAGTGAGAAACACAGATTGGGTTCATTTTTGTGAAGGTGTGTCAGAGACATCTGCCTCTGGAGGGCAGGTGAGAGAAGCCCAGTGAAGGCACCCAGTGATGGGTTCCTTTCCTCTTTCCCACTTACCTGTTTCAGGCCTCCTGTGAGCAGGGCCCCGCCACAGCCAGTGAAACTCCAGACCAACAATGTCGGCAAGAAAAAGAGACCCATAGAGGTGAGGAAAATCCCACTCCCCGGTGTTAATTGGTACCTTAAAATGTATACAGGGTTTAGTTTGTTTCCTTTTTGGAAAACATCTAAATCTTTTCTTTATTCTTTATGAAAATAAATGTACTGATGAATATTCTTTTTTGTTTGGTTGTAAAAATTGATTGCTTAACTGTCAAATCTGAGTCTTGGATGGATATCCTGTTCCTTTTTTTATTAGTCTTTCTTTTAGTTTTCTATGAATAATACCCTAAATTGAACTGTATCTCAGAGAACTTCTAAATGTAAATGTATGAAATGATCTGTGGTTTATGGAAGCATAGGCACTTCGGCAGTGTCTTATACTTAGCAGTTTGAATTTATAAGTTAAAGGTTTAATGCTTACACCAAATCAAGAACTTTTGCTCCATGTGATGTATTCACTGTAGGGTTTAATGAAGGTTCTGCTTCGAAGCAAAGAAACCTTTGCACAATAATTGAGCAAAAAAGGAAGGCATTTCATAATCTCAGTATCAGCAGCAACAAGCAAACTGTGCTAAGTGAGGTCTAAAACAAGGCATAAAGCTGTGGGAGGGTGATTGTTGTACTTCCTACCCCACTCAGCCTCACAGGGTCAGTGAAAATGGACACTTGGAGTAGCAGAATTATCTGCTAGAACTTTAGCATGAGTTATCAGAGACAGCCTGCTTAGTGCACAAAGCTGATATACTGTCTGGATCCTTGAAAGTACATCACTTGGACATAAGTTATCCTGAGTTACGTACGCAGATCAAATATTTTGACTAACAGTTTAACACAAATCGAAATATTCTTCTTTTGGACACAAGAAGTATCTCAATGTTTAACACATGAAATCTCAAGAACTAAAATTCTTGGAATCAGATGACCTTGTGGTTCTCCTTTCATTTTTATGACTTTATGTAGAAAAGTATGGAATGTGTGTTTCAGCTGCCCAAAACGGGTTACATAGAGAGGTATATCTAGGTTAATTTTGTGTTTGAAATCTGTAAAACATCAAAAATGCATCCTCCATTTTGACTGAAGACACCAGTACTCTATATAACAAAATAATGGTGAACATTTAGACATGAGGAATTGTATAATGGTTTTATCATTGTTATAGGACCTTGTGTTGGAGCTTGTTTTTGGCTATCGAGGCAGAGACTGTAGGAATAATGTTCATTATTTAAATGATGGTGATGATATAATTTATCACACTGCATCCGTGGGAATTGTGCACAACATTGCTACAGGTAGGAAACCCTGATTCTCCATTCCCCACTTTTTAAAATTTAGAATTTTTAATTTAGCATCTTAAAACTCTTCGTTAAAAATATAAATAATTAAAATATGTGAATCTAGAATATAAATATTTCATACTGTAGACCTTTCTAGTAATATTTTAAGTAACAAATTTACAGTTTTGAAGACATTTAACACGGCAAAAAAGGATTTCATAACGCAAAGTGCTCAAAGATCTCGATGAGAAGTAAAGGATTACTGTATGTTGAAAGCACGTTTTATAGCGAAACCGTTTGTGACTTTATTCTATTTCCCCATAACCTAAACGCATAAGTGGATGGTTTGGATGGTTGTCTTTGACGGTTAGTGACTGAAAGCAGCACGTTGGATGAGTGATTGCTAGGGAGTGGGGTGGAGTGGCAATGTTCACACTGAGCCCTCGGAAAGCCGAGGAGGTTAACTAAGAAAGCTGCTTGCCGGTGACTTGACTGATGATACCTTGTTAGATTCAAGAAAATGAGAAAATATTTCCTGATTTCTCTTTAACTGATTGGATTGTTGAAAAGCAAAGAAAGTTCCCTGAGCATCATTTGATGACCAATGATGTGATAATTCTACTAGTAATACTCAGTATTAATTTTGAATTCTATTTTATTACATATAGTTGTAAACTTCATAAAAGTCTAAAAGTTAGAAGTAAAAATATAGATTACCTAGTCCAAACATTTCTGGCTTTTTCCTCTGGTAGCTTCATTCTAATTAGGTAGAGTGGATTATGTGAGTCATAATCCCCCAACCCCTGGTCAGTATTAATAATTAATATGATATTTCTGTTTTAGTTGCCCTAAGAAAAAGATTTATCAGTATTACACAAATCAATGGCAATTTTCCATTTAATAATTTGGGTCATTTAAAAAAAATACCTCTTAGAAAGAAAATCCTCTTTGAGGCTTCACTTATCCTTCAAAGAGAATAGGGACGATAACAAAAGACAAATTACATAGGGATGAAAGTATAAATACACTTTCATATTTACACTTGTAATTTTCTTTATTTTTAATTTCCTGATTTTTAATTAATCATCTTTCTAATGATGGGATGTAGCGAGAGATGGCAGAGGGAAGACTAAGCACCTGCTCCAGTCCTGGTTATTTGGCCCCTCACCATTATGGAGATACATTGCTCTGTTTACAGTCTAAGAAGTCTTGACCTATTAGCTGATCTACTAATTTAGCCAACAGCACATATAATTACTTGTTTGTTCCTTTAACTGAACTCTCAGCCCTGGGAAATATGAAGCCCATTTCACTTCGAGAAGTTCCTTTAAAGTAATGTTAGATATGTTAAATGACATTTTAAAAATGTTTTCTTTGGTTTTGTTTTGCTTTTCGGAGGACCTAGTATTGATGGTACTCTATCATCTGGACCCAGTCTACCGTCCTGACCTCATTTCCCACCCCTCCGTTTTACTTGCACAAGCCTACCTTTACTGCCTCCTGCACAATCATAGTCTGCTAAGGTCTCTTCACTGTCACTACTGCTACAGTAATCACATTACTTCTTTGATCAGGATTCTTCAGTACCTCCCCACTGACTACAGAATAAGTATGAAATTTAATAATAGGCTTGTTTTCAAAATGCTCTGTAATTCTAGTTCCAATTTGCCTGCGCAACCTATTTCTTTCTTTCCTTTTTTGTTACCCTACACTTCAGCCAAATGAGCCATCTATATGCATACCCAGTACTTTCCTGCCTTTGTACCTTTGCTTCAAGTATCCCTCTCCCTGGAAGGCCCTTCCCCACTCACATTCACATTTACAGAATCTGTCGTGTCAGTCCAGAAGTGCCATCTGCTCGTAAGAAGAAGAATCTGCTACAAATTTCCATAGCATTTTGATCTTTAACTCTCTTGTGCCACTTGATGTCTTCAACCTCGTATTACGTGGTTTTATGCATTTCAGGGTTCGTTACTTTAAGGATTTCTTGGTCATGTTTCCATCCTTAGGATGAAGTGTATATGTTGTGCTCAAAAAATATGTGTTGGGACTTCCCTGGCAGTCCAGTGGTTAAGACTTGGCGCTTCCACTGCAGGGGGCACAGGTTCGATCCCTGGTCGGGGAGCTAAGATCCTGCAAGCCGCACGGCACGGCCACAAAAAATACATACATGTATGTGTGTTAAATAAGCAAGTGAGTTGGACACAGCAGTTTATTACTCTGTGTAAGTGCATTTGACTATTTCACCTTAAAGTTTTCAGATTTAATTCTCAAATTCTTTGTTTTCTAGGGACTCAGAGTTTTTATCAGGAACATAATGATGATATTCTGTGCCTCACTGTAAATCAGCACCCCAAATTTATCAACATAGTGGCAACTGGCCAAGTAGGTATGTTTCTATATTTTAAAAAGAAACAATTTTAAGTAATTGTTTTGTTCAAATTAATTTAATATCTTAGGAAAAAACTAAAACATATTTGTGTATTGTTCAAAATGCATTTATACATAAAGCAGATGCTCAGTTTTACCATATTATTTGCTTCCAGGCACCTTTCTCTCACTTGGGTTATCTGAGTTGGCTCAGATGGTTCAGAATTAAGAAGAAGCTATTCTGTGGTAGTTGAAATAGTTGGATTTAGTCCTGTAGCAGAAATTTCTGATGAGCAAAAAGTTTTTATTCAATAGCATATAAAGCAGAAAAGAAGAACTTGAGGAGAGAATGGTAAATAAGAGGAGCCGAGAAGTAACTGGACTGAGAGGGGGAGCACATCTGCCTCAGCAGGGCATAATCTAGAAAGAAGAGAGAAGCCGAGTCTGTTCCATGTTAGTAGAGCCCTTCTGCCCTTTTCTTTGGCAGTGATCTAATTTGCCAACTATTTTTGAAATCCCCTATCTTGCTGTTTTCTTTCAACTCTATAGAAAACTTAAACGAAGGCTGTAACTCCACAAGCAAAATGTTGAGAGGATAGTAGGTCTCTTTAGGACATATCTACCAGTCACTGATCACTATGACTACTACATAATAGACGCGGTCAGTCACATCGTCACAACCCTGGTATAATTTGTAAAAATTATCAAAATCATTGGGTTTCTTGGATCTCAGTGGGCCTCAATTGCTAAGCCAGCTTTCCAGATGTCTTTTTCTTCTTGAATAAGATAACTTATGCTTCTAATATCTCCGCTTTTCATAAATTACTAAACTGATCAGTTAGAAATTTGTTCTCTGGATCAATTAGTTCTACAGTTATGCCACAAAGACCTTTGTAATCTTCCTTTCTGTAAAATTTTCTACTTTTAAAAAGAAAGTAGACCAATACTTCACCTGTTATATACAAAATATTCTAATCTTTGAATATATTATTTATTTATTTATCGACATATAGTTGATTTACAATGTTGTGTTAGATTCTGGTATACAGCAAAGTGATTCAGTTATATATAAATGTATGTATTATTTTCACGTTCTTTTCCATTATGCTTTATCACAGGATATTGAATATAGTTCCCTGTGGTATACAGTAGGACCTTGTTTTTTATCTGTTTTATATATAGTAGTTTGTATCTGCTAATCCCAAACTCCTAATTTATCCCTCCCCCACCCCCTTTCTCCTTTGGTAGCCATCAGTTTGTTCTCCATGTCTGTGAGTCTGTTTCTGTTTCATAAATAAGTTCATTTGTGTCATATTTTAGATTCCACATGTGATATCATATGGTATTTGTCTTTCTCTTTCTGACTTACTTCACTTAGTGTGATAATCTATAGATCCATCCATATTACTGCAAATGGCATTATTTCATTCTTTTTTATGGCTGAGGAGTATTCCATTGTGTATATATACCACATCTTCTTTATTCATTCATCTGTTGATGGACATTTAAGTTGCTTCCATGTCTTGGCTATTGTAAATAGTGCTACTGTGAACATTGGGGTGCATGTATCTTTCCGAATTAGAGTTTTCTCTGGATATATGCCCAGGAGTGGGATTGCTGCATCATATGGCAACTCTATTTTTAGTTTCTTGAGGAACCTCCATACTGTTTTCCATAGTGGCTGCACCAATTTTACATTCCCACCAGTAGTGTAGAAGGGTTCCCTTTTCTCCACATCCTCTCCAGCATTTATTATTGGTAGACTTTTTGATGATAGCCATTCTGACCAGTATCAGGTGATACCTCATTGTAGTCTTGATTTGCATTTCTCTGATAATTAGTGATTTGAACATCTTTTCCTGTGCCTGTTGGCCATCTGTATGTCTTCTTTGGAGAAATGTCTGTTTAGGTCTTCTGCCCAAGTTTTGATTGGGTTGTTCATTTTTTTGTTATTCAGTTGTATGAGCTGTTTGTATATTTTGGAAGTTAAGCCCTGTTGGTCGAATCATTTGCAAATATTTTCACACAGTCCATAGGTTGTCTTTTCATTTTATTTATGGTTTCCTTTGCTATGCAAAAGCTTATAAGTTTGCATATGTCCCATTTGTTTATTTTTGCTTTTATTTCTATTGCCTTGGGAAACTGACCTAAGAAAACATTGGTACAATTTATGTCAGAATGTTTTGCCTGTGGTTTCTTCTAAGAGTTTTACAGTGTCATGTCTTATATTTAAGTTTTTAAGCTATTTTGAGTTTATTTTTGTGTATAATATGAGGATGTGCTCTAACTTCATTGATTTACATGCAGCTGCCCAGCTTTCCCAACACCACTTGCTGAAGAAACTGTCTTTTCTCCATTGTATATTCTTGTCTCCTTGTCTAAGATTAATTGACTGTAGGTGTGTGGGTTTATTTCTACACTCCCCGTTCTGTTCCATTGATCCATATGTCTGTTTTTTGTGCCAGTACTGTGCTGTTTTGATTACTGTAGCTTTGTAGCATTGTCTGAAGTCTGGGAGGGTTATGCCTCCTGCTTTGTTCTTTTTCCTCAGGATTGCTTTGGCAATTCTAGGTCTTTTATGGTCACACATAAATGTTAGGATTATTTGTTCTAGTTCTGTGAAAAATGTTATGGGTAATTTCATAGTGATCACATTAAATCTGTAGATTGCTTTGGGTAGTATGGCCATTTTAATGATACTAATTCTTCCAATCCAAAGGCATGGTATATCTTTCAATTCTTTAAATCATCTTCAATTTCCTTTATTAGTGTGTTTTAGTTCTCAGCATATTAAGTCTTTCACCTCCTTGGTCAGGTTTATTCCTAAGTAATTTTTTTTTATGCGATTTTAAAAGAGAATGTGTGAGCTTCCCTGGTGGCGCAGTGGTTAAGAATCCACCTGCCAATGCAGGGGACATGGGTTCAAGCCCTGGTCCAGGAAGACCCCACACGCCGCAGAGCTACTAAGCCCATGCGTACAACTACTGAGGCTGTGCTCTAGAGCCTGTGAGCCACAACTACTGAGCCCGCATGCCTAGAGCCTGCTCTGCAACAAGAGAAGCCACCACAGTGAGAAGCCCACGCACCACAAAGAAGAGTAGCCCCCGCTTGCTGCAACTAGAGAAAGCCCATGCGCAGCGATGAAGACCCAATGCAGCTATAAATAAATAAATACATTTATTTTTTTAATGTGTTTTTACTTTCCCTTTCTGATATTTTGTTGTTAATGTAAGAAATGCAACAGATTTCTGTATGTTAATCTTGTATCCTGCTACCTTGCTGAATTCATTTATCAGTTCTAGTAGTTTTGTGTAGAGTCTTTAGGGTTTTCTATATATATCATGTCATCTGCATATGACAGTTCTACCTCTTCTCTTCCAATTTGGATACCTTTTATTTCTTTTTCTTGTCTGATTGCTGTGGCTAAGACTTCCAATACTGTGTTGAATAGAAGTGGTGAGAGTAGGCATCCTTGTCTTCTTCCAGATTTTAGCAGGAAGGCTTTCAGCTTTTCACCATTGAGTATTATGTTGGCTGTGGGTTTGTCATAAATAGCTTTTATTACGTTGAGATATGTTCCCTCTATACCCACTTTGGTGAGAGTTTTTATCATGAATGGATGTTGAAGCATCCAAAAGCATTTTATCAAATGCTTTTTCTGCATCTATTGAGGTGAACATGTAGTTCTGTTCTGTTCTTTTCCTTCCCTTCCCTTCCCTTCTGTTTTTTTTTCTTTCCTTTCCTTTCCTTTCCTTTCCTTTCCTTTCCTTTCCTTTCCTTTCCTTTCCTTTCCTTTCCTTGTCTTGTCTTGTCTTGTCTTGTTATGGTGTATCATGTTGATTGATTTGTGTATGTTGAACCATCCTTGTGACCCTGGGATGAATCCACTTGATCAAGGCCTATGATCTTTTTTATGTGTTGTTGGATTCAGTTTACTTATATTTTGTTGAGAATTTTTGTATCTATATTCATCAAAGATATTGGCCTGTAGTTTTCTTTTTTGGTATTGTCTCTTTTTTTTAATTTATTTTTTGGCTGCATTGGGTCTTGGTTGCTGCACGCGGGCTTTCTGTAGTTGCAGTGAGCGAGGACTACTCTTTGTAGTGGTGTGCGGGCTTCTCATTGCAGTGGCTTCTCTTGTAGTAGTTGCAAAACACAGGCTCAGTAGTTGCAGTACACAGGCCTTAGGTCACGCTGGCTTCAGTAGTTGTGGCACGTGGGCTCAGTAGTTGTGTCACGTGTATTCTAGGGCATGTGGGCTTCAGTAGTTGTGGCTTGCAGGCTCTAGAGCACAGGCTCAGTAGTTGTGGCACACGGGCTTAGTTGCTTCACGTCATGTGGGAATCTTCTTGGACCAGTGATCGATCCTGTGTCCCCTGCATTGGCAGGTGGATTCTTAACCACTGCACCACCAGGCAAGTCTCTTTGGTATTGTCTGTGTCTTGTTTTGGTATTAGGGCAATGATAGCTTCATAGAATGGCTTTGGGAGTGTTCTCTCCTCTTCAGTCTTTTGGAAGGGATTGAGAAGGATCAGTATAAGTTCTTTGCATGTTTGGTAAAAGTCCTCAGTAAAGGCATCTGGTCCTGGACTTCGGTTTGCAGAAACTTGTTCTTCTAGGTTTTCCAGTTTGTTGGCATATAATTGTTCATAGTATTCTCTTACGGTTCTTTGTATTTCTGCAGTATTGGCTGTTATTTTTCCTCTTTCATTTCTTATTTTGTTTATTTGGGTCCTCTCTCTTTTCTTCTTGGTGAGCCTGGCCAGAGGCTTGTCGATTTTGCTTACCCTTTCAAAGAAGCAGCTCTTGGTTTTATTGATTTTTTTCAATTGTTTTTTAAAATCTCTATTGTATTTATTTCCTCCATGACCTTTATTATTTCCTTCCTTACGCTGGCTTTAGGTTTTGTTTGTTCTTTTTCTAATTCTTTTAGGTGGTAGGTTAGGTTGTTTATTTGAGATTTTTCTTGTTTTTTGAGCAAAGGCCGGTATCGCTATGAACTTCCCTCTAAGAACTGCT